CTGCCCTTTACTGCTCCAGCTCCTGTCCTGTACTGCCCCAGCTCCAGTCCTGATCTGCCCCAGCTCCAGTCCTGATCTGCCCCAGCTCCTGCCCTGTACTGCCCCAGCTCCTGCCCTGTACTGCCCCAGCTCCTGTCCAGTACATCCTCCCTCCCCACATTGTCTGGACGGGGGTTGGTGGGGGCCTTATCAACCCAGAGAGCTGGCCACTGTTAGCTTGAAAATGTCTCCCCATAAATTACACGGACTTGTCTCCTGCTGTCCCAGACCCTGACACTTCGAGGCTGTTCCTGTGCGCTGAGTTATTATTTCAACTGATGGGCTATAAATGGAGTGGGGGGCTGAGGTGTTTGTCTTCTTTACAGCGGTTTATCCCTCCTGCTCGGTCAGTCGATTCTCACCGTCGTGATTGTATCGGCCTTGGCCCTGCTCCCCGTTCCTCTTTCTCGATTCCAAATCCAAACCCCCTGATTCCTCTTTTAAAACCAGTTTCAGTCTCTGTTGTGGAAAATCCCCATTCCCCTTTAAAACCAGTCTCGGTTCAGATTCCATCTGGCTCCCAGCTCGTGTTCCAGGGCCGGTTGATAATGCTGAGTGTGACCTCTGACCCTTGGGCATGGTCCCTGTGGGAGTCTGGGAAGGCAGTATGGTGGTGCATTAAGAAGGGTATAAGTGGAACTGTCTAAATGACAGGCTATGAATTATTTATGACAGCCCACTCTCTCTAATGGAATGGGGAGCGATGGGGTGAGTGGGCAGGAGTTGAGACCTTTTGCATGGACCCGAGTCGAATTGAAGTTTGACCACGCGCATGCTCTTCTTCTGCATCACCACTATGACTGGTACCGAAGTCATCCTTTCATCACTGCTCCGCCCCCTGATAAAACCTGGAATGGATCAAACTGCTCTGTGATGGGAGTTTGGTTAGTTTCCCGGCGTGCACACACAAGGACTGAGCCACCTGCCCTGTACACAATCGGTATTACAGTAAGTGGGTCAGAGAGGAAAGCTGAGAGAGAGTGGGGTAGAGAGTCTTGACCTTCCACACGGACTTTGTTGAAAAGCTAAGTGGAACAGGAAGTAGTCTGCTGCTCGCACTGCGAGTCGAACAGAAGAGCCCAGCAGGAGCTGATGTGTGAGAGAACATGTCTTCGCCTGAGTCAGAGGTCCTGTCTGAGCATCAGGCTATGGGAGAGGAGAGAGGGGGAGAGGGAGAGGAGACAGGGAGAGGAGATACAGGGAGGAGAGAGGGGGACAGGGAGAGGAGAGAAGGGGACAGGGAGAGGAGAAGGGGACACAGGGAGAGGAGAAAGGCGGACATGGAGAGGAGAAAGATACATGGTTAGGAGACAGGGAGAGGAGATACAGGGAGAGGATAGAGGGATACAGAGAGAGGAGAGAGGTATACAGGGAGAGGAGAGAGGGAGGACAGGGAGAGGAGAAAGAGATACAGGGTGAGGATAGAGGGATACAGGGAGAGGAGAGAGGGATACAGGGAGAGGAGAGAGGGATACAGGGAGAGGAGAAGGGGATACAGGGAGAGGTGATACAGGGAGAGGAGAGAGGGAGACAGGGAGAGGAGAGAGGGATACAGGGAGAGGAGAGAGGGTAAGACGGAGGTAAGGCCTTCTGGGCCTTGTGTGTTATTTCTACACATTCATTTTCAGCGCCCAGCAAAGTTTCCTCCTGCCAGACTTCACATGAAGGAGCCTCTGAGCTGCTTTATAGCTTTCTGCTCTCTCTTCAGCGGCTGACAAAGAGGGCCTGTGAGGCTGTACAGACAGCGAGGAAGTGGAGCACTGGGGGGTGGAGTGAGTGGTGTGTGTGTGCATGTATTTCCACACTGGTTAACACACCACTTAAATCACTCACGCGCTCTGGGACCTACAGTATATCACTGTGAGAGAAGGATTCAATTTACACTCCCAGTTTCAAAAAGAGTTACTTTTCCCAATCATTTTACAGAATATTTACTAAGATGTTTGTGTCTGGCACTGTGGTATTAATGCCTCTACTGTATCTTTTCTGTCTCAAGACTGTGAGCTTATTAACCCCTCATCTCTCTCTCAGAATAGAGTGTGTATAAACCCTTTTTCCTCTCTATTGGTGCAGTGTTTGTACAGCAGTGTGTGTATTAACCCCTCTGTCTCAGTGCAGTGTGTGTATTAACCCCTGTGTCTCAGTGCAGTGTGTTTATTAACCCCTGTGTCTCAGTGCAGTGTGTGTATTAAGCCCTCTGTCTCAGTGCAGTGTGTGTGTACAGCAGTGTGTGTATTAAGCCCTCTGTCTCAGTGCAGTGTGTGTGTACAGCAGTGTGTGTACTAACCCCTCTGTCTCAGTGCAGTGTGTGTGT